TGTGTGTGTGTGTGTGTGTGTGTGTGATATTTCATCTCTGAGGCTCAGTCAGATGAGCGCTGCACTCTGTCTCCCCCATGTGGTGTTGCAGGAGTCTTACATGTTATTTCTTCCCTGAGTTGTGATGGATGAAAGTAGATGATGAAAGTAAAAACCACAAAATATAAAGAACATCAAAGTGTTTCATTAACTTCAATTGAGTGGGAGCGCCACCCAGTGGTTGTCAGAACGAGCGGAGGCTTTACAATAGACTGGACAAACAGATGGGCGACGTGGTAAAATGAAGCCATAGCGTCTCGGTCGCCCCCTGGTGTCTGGCTGCAGTATAGTTCATAAACCCTGACTCCTCCATGTTAGCAGACGGGACATGGACCAAACAAAAAAAAATCAAAGAAGACGATAAACAAAGAGAATAAAGTGATAATGTTGCTTTGTTGTTCATTTGTTCATTCGTGTGTGTGTGTGTGTGTGTGTCAGTCCGTCCAGTCGTCAGACCCCCAGGCCCAGCTCGTCCCACAGCTCCTCCCCCTCGTCCGACTCAGACGACCCAGATGACAGCTATGTTGCCATGACGACCTCCAGCCTCAGTTTCAGTGCCGGGGAGTCGGTAAGATTCCTTCTTTCCCTCCTCGCTGTTTTCCATGATGTTCTCCTCCCTCGATCACCAACCTCTGCTGATAAACTTCTTTCTCTCATCCCGCCAGCAACCTTTGTCATCTCCAGTTTTCTATTTGACTCTGATTTACTAAGTTCTCAGCGTGTGTGTGTGTGTGTACGTGTGTGTGTACGTGTGTGTGTGTGTGTGTGTGTACGTGTGTGTACGTGTGTACGTGTGTGTGTGCAGTCTCTCAGGCTCATGCTGCACCGAGCTTCAGAGGGCGGGGTCAGCAGCCCGTTGCTACGGCGAGCCAGAGGCGACAAACAGGTAGAATACCTGGACCTGGACCTCCACACCGGACGATCAACACCAACGAGACAGGTAAAATCTCTCTCTCTCTCTCTCTCTCTCCCTCTCCCTCTCCCTCTCCCTCTCCCTCTCTCTCTCTGTTGTTATTGAACTTCTGTGTTCGTGTTTCTCCACGAGCAGAAGCGATGCACGGCAGCAGGTGGAGGCGGCAGTGACAAACAGGCCGGAGCTGGCGAGGAGCGTGCACGGGGTGAGAGCACGCGTGTGGACTATGTGGTGGTGGACCCCAAAAGAACCAAGGCCCTGAGGAACACCAGGGAAGCATGGCATGATGGGAGGATGTCCACGGAGAAGGACAAAAGCTAGAAGTACTTGTAGGGGATATTTAGATACTACTTTTTAAAACAAGATGAAATTCTTCTTTAAAAACTAGAATTTTCCCCCAGATTCATATGAGGTCATTGTGACCTTTAACCTTTGACCTCTGTAATCCAATCATCTTTGAGTCCACCTGACAAATGGTAGAGAAAGAAATTGCCTTGCAAAAGACTTGAGACACATTTGAAGTGAACAAGTTCAGTTTAACATGTTTCTGTAGCTTCAGTCTCCCGACAGGAATCCAAGCTTTAGTCAGAGATGTGTTGTTTTAAACTGTGTTGAAAATAATTCATAATAAATGTGCAGTGGGGAACAAGCTGTGATCATCCTTCGGTGACCGATGTCGTCAAATCAAACCTGATGAATCATTCAGTTTTTCTGTGACACAGAAAACAAAGAAATTCATGAATGAATAAACGTAAAACACCACCCGCTGGACTTCTAGTGTGTTTTTCTTACTTGATTCCCACACGACACAAAGTCTCCACCCCGATCTGACAGTTGGGGTATCAGGTGGAGGAGGTGGGGGGGTTCAGGGAATGAAGGGGTGTCTCCAGGTCTTTGCCGGTTACACAGGATGGAAATCCAGATAGAGTTGGATTTCACTGGAAAGTTTATAAATAAGGTTAATTAATAAAGTTGAATAATGAAGATTAATAATAAAGGTTA